TGGGAACTCTCTTCCCATTCCCTTGGCCAGTGCTGCTTCAGTTCCTCCTGAGGGCAGAGACTTCATTCTTGTGTTGCAAAGTCTGTGTCTAGATGGCTGCTGTGATAATGACACAGCTTTTCTTACTTTTCCTGGGAAGGATGCTTTGGTGGGGTGATTGGCTGCTTTCTCTGCCACTTGGTGCTGGACAAACCTGTTGGTGGCTCCACAGGTCTCTTTGGGCTGATACCAGTGAAGGACCTAAGAAAGTTTGAAGGGCTTTGAGCCTTCATGCTACTCCTCGTACTGTGGAAATGTGTTGTTAATAATGAATCAAGCTTAATAGGGTGCACTATTAGTTTTAACATGGCCATTAAATCACACCTTTTCTTTGGTTTTTCTGAAGTGTGGTTTGAAGGTGGCACACATGGAGTTGTCCTGGGAATGTGGCAACCACCTGCAAATGGTGTGGCATTGCTGATTTTCATTACAGCTCTGACTGCCCAACTTGTAATGCACAAGGCTTGTGGAAAGTGCAAGTCTCTTGCAAGTACTTGCCCAGTTTCCCATCTAGACCTACTCAATTTTCCATGTCAGAGTCCTTCAGCAAGGAGTCCTTCAAGCTATTGACTTTGTCTGATGGCACCACCTTGGAAGAGGCAGTGAATATTGCATCCCTCTCTCTGTTCTCCCAGCTACTGGCAAGTTGCACAGAGCTTTGCTCTCCTCCCTTCCACCATCTCTTTTCTAGGCTGGGTAGTTTACTACTTCTGGCTGCAGCACCAGCAGCCTCAGGGCAGGCTGCTTGTTCCCATCCCTGCCCCAGTGCTGGCCAAGTTCCCAACAGGCTGGGAACTTCAACTGGGTGCAGTTGGGAGCACTAACTTAACCATTTGTTGTAACCAAAAAAATTTTACCCTACCACCTGTCCTGCATCCCCAGACCTTCCCTGGTGCTCCCACCACTCTTCTTTGCACTGGTCTGGTATTATGGCATCAGAGAATCACAGAATGGTTGGAAGGGGCCTTTAAAGGTCATCTAGTCCAAGCCCCTTGCAGTGAGCAGAGACAACTTTTAACTAGATCAGGTTGCTCAGAGCCCCATCCAGCCTGACCAGGGAGGGGGGCATCTACCACCTCTCTGGGCAACCTGGGCCAGTGTCTCACCACCATCATTGTAAACCATTTCATCCTAGTATCTAGTCTAAACCTCCTCACTTTCGGTTTACAATCTTCACCCCTTGCCTGTCACTTCAGGCCCTGCTGAAAAGTCTGTCCCCATCTTTCTCCCAGGCTCCCTCCAGGCACTGGAAGGTGCTCTAAGGTCTTCCCAGAGCCTTTTCTTCTCCAGGCTGAACAACCTGCCCTCTCTAAGCCTGTCCAGGTGTTCCAGCCCTCTCATCATCTTTGTGTCCACCCTCTGGACTCTGTCCAACAGCTCCATGTCTTCCTTTGCTAGCTGTGTGTTTTGCAGTCACTGCAAGCTGACCCAGCCAGGTGTGAATGGGGTTGGCAGAGTTTGTGAAATGATCTAACAAAGCTGCAGGTTCAGCCTGGGAGATGAGAGATGGGTCCTGTAGGACCTCTTCTTGTTGGCTCTGTGCTCTTCAGGCCATTCAGCCACGCTGTGCACTGTCAGCCCTTCTAATCCTTGTGGCATTGATGAGCAAACACTTGTTCTGGCAGGAGTGGGACATGCAGGGGGCTGGAGGGGAGGCAGAAGGCTGCAGTGTTTTCCCAGATGCTCAATAATAAGATCACCAGCTTCCTCCCCTCTGGCACAGACCTCCCTTGTTCCTTGCTTTGCACCTTTTTTGGACACAGCTGTAAAAAAAAGTGAGCTTTGAAGAGCCTGTTCTCAGGTGTGCCTGGTGCAAACAGTGCCCAGAGCATCAATCCACATGGCTCTGCTGGCTTTGTAATATGGGATTTGCTTACTGTGCCTTCCTCTGCCCTCTTTTTTTTTATTTGGGGGGGGCAATTTCAAAAGCCTGGCTGTAACATACCCTAAAATTCAACTGCCTTTGCCAAGGCCCACTGTGAGCCATGGAGTATGGGTGAATGCTTGTTATAACATTTGCTTTGCTGGGTTGCACGTCTTTAACCAAAGGCACATGGGGAATTTTGTTTCCAACAATGAATTTGAATTCAGTTGGGGTTGATACTGCATCTCTTAAAGAGGGCAGATTTACCCAGCAACGAAACTGTAAACTCCTGTGTTTTCCCAGAGAGCTCCTGTTGCTTTAATAATCTAGTTATCTGGGAATCTCTTGAAGTATCAAAGGGCCAATTATGCACTGCCTGGAGAGGACCAGGGAGAGCTGTTTTTGTGCTTGAATTAATAGATACAGGCTGGTCACAGCAGGTCTGATGTCCTCCCTAGCTCACCACTGTAAATTTGCAGGGCAGGGACAGCAATCATTTATTTTCATCTCTCATCTCCTTTGCTCAGCAGGAGTAACTCTTAACAGGACTGCATGGTTTCTTCTGATATTTAGACAAGACATTAAAGACAACTTTAAATGAAAAACCTTAGGAAAAAACTGATGGAGAATGGCACAGCAGGTCTGATGTCCTCCCTAGCTCACCACTGTAAATTTGCAGGGCAGGGACAGCAATCATTTATTTTCATCTCTCATCTCCTTTGCTCAGCAGGAGTAACTCTTAACAGGACTGCATGGTTTCTTCTGATATTTAGACAAGACATTAAAGACAACTTTAAATGAAAAACCTTAGGAAAAAACTGATGGAGAATGGCTTGTGACAGGGAGGGGTGGGGAATGTCTCCCAAGGGAAGCAGAAGTCTTCAGCTAGCTTGATGTTTTAGGGAGAAAGAAGTGTTTCATTTTCTGACCTTCAACTAGAAAAAAAAAGAACCCCCTCCACCTTCCTCAAAACAACAGGCTTCATCCTGGAATAAATAGCTGGATTAAATGGATGAGCATAGATTTCATCAAGACTGGGTCTTGCTTCTCTCTGCAGGGGCAGGTCTCTCCAACAGGATCCTCTTACAGTTGTTGTTGTTTTTAAAAGAAAAATCATCAGGGCAAGTCAGGGGTTCTGTGTGAAACCAGCACTTGTGTGGGGATGAGCAGATGATTTGTGCTTAATTATTTGTAAAGGCTGCCAGCAGATTGCTTATTTTTAAAGGAAGGGTTTTATTAGAGGATCTCTGCCTGCTTCAGGCTTTCTCACACAACTGCTTTTTTCATGTTGCTTTGCTTCTTGTTACCAGGATTATAGCTCAGAGACAAACCCTGTGTTCTGTCCCTTTCATTTCTGGAGACAGGCAGAGAGGTTCTGGAGACAGGCTCTGCTTATGGAGGTCCTGGTTGGTACTTTCTGAAGGGGACTGCTTTAACACCTGAGGCTGAGGTTGAAATGTGCCTACATCTGTTTCCTCTGTGGCATCACTCAGTTCAGAGCAGTTGCCAAAGCAGCAACTTGATGCCCTTGGCACTGGCAGGTTTTGTTCCCGTGGCTTTAGTTACCTGGTTGGTACAGAGCCTGGTTTATGTTCATTCAGGCTAAACCTCCACTAAAAATTCCACACCTGGAATAGTGTATCCAGTTCTGGGATCCCCAGTTCAACAGAGGGAGAGTCCAACAGAGAGCTGCAAGGATGATTAAGGGAATTACTTGGGAATGTTGGTGTCTGTGGTGCTGCCTGAGGGCTTTTTTGAGCCCTGAGAGGGCCAGGCTTGGCTTTCCATCCCAATGCACAGTCCTCAGAGCTGTCCTCTTCCTCCCAAACCCTTTAAAGGTCATTTAGTCCAAGCCTGTGGAAGGCTTTGTGTGTGGAACATCTGTTTGGCTGGTTAGATGGACTAGAATGAAGGAGGTTGTGTGCTTCAGTCTCCCATGTCTTCTCACAGACTTGGAGGTGACAGATCCTCATCTCTAGGTGTAGGTGCAACTCCTTGAACTCCCGACTGTAGGGTCCTGCTGTTCACCTCCATTTCCTCTCATCCTAGTGACAATTTGCTTTCCTGGTGTGGATGCAGATCTTCTAGCTTTCCTAGTAGACCTCCTATCCCCATCCCAGCTCTCCAGTCCATCCAACCTTTCCCTCTGCAATGCATTTCTGGGTTGGCTGGGCTAAAACTGCTCCTTGTTTGACCCTCTTGTGACCTACAGAACCAGCCTAGCCTCTTGAGATGCTGTCAGAAGGACAGGCTTCCTGCTGTGGTCCCCAGCCCTCTGCCAGCTCACCTACAGGGAGGTGACTTCATGCCACAGCATCACCATGGTTCCTCAAGTCCTGGTTTGGGAACCACAGGTACAAGAAGTTTGGTCGGGTCAGCCCGTGTGTCTGAGCTGCACTGACAGGAGCTGCAGCCTGAAAGATCAGTGAATTTCAGAGGCAGCAAGTGAAGGCTGTTGTTTAGGTCCCAGGGTAGCAGTGAAATTTGGGAAGAGAGTTCAAGAAACTAGTTCTTTGGTTTGTTGTGGGTTCTTTTTCCAGAAAGTAATGGCTTGTGGCTGTGCTTATGAAGACAGGCAGATAATGCTTGTGCTTTAAGGAAGACAAGTTCAGCTCTTGAAGGCTAAATACACAATTTCATCTGAATGGTTTCATGTAATGTAGTAATTAACTCAGTATTTCATGCATGAAATACTTCATATATTTAATAATGTGTGCCTGTTTTGGCAGGAGAGACTTGGTTAATTCCTCTACTACATGCTATGGTGAGAGGAGTCACCTCTGACTAGAACTGGGTGGGAACAAGGGCGTGTAAGGGAGAATCCAGGTGGAATATGCTGCTGTGTGCTGAGATTATTGGCATAGTTATATATATATATAATGGCAGAGTGTCTTTTGTGGGTTTGCCCCTCAGTGGCACAGCTCAGTTTTTTCAAAGGGACTGATCTTTCTGGAAGTTTTAATCATGATATTGTAAAAACGTATTTCATGTTGCCCTCCTGCAGGTACCATGAGGCCACATGATAAAGAATCCCAACATTTCCAGAAAGAGTGACAAAGAGAAACGTTTCTGACTCAACTTTCTGCTCTCTCTCCAGCTCCCTGGTCGCAATTTCAGGCCAGGCTACAATGCTGATGTTGGTGACAAGTGGATCTGGCTGAAATGAGACCTGTTCCCTTTGGAGCCCTGCCCATGATGGACCACAGGACTTGAAGAAGCAGTAGAGTTCAGTGTGCCTGCCCCTCATGGATTGTGTAGCACGAGGAAAAGGCTGGTTAAATCATCTTCCAGATGCTGCCTCAGAGAAAAGAATGAAGGGAAGAAGGGAAATCACTTGGTTCTGGTTTGTTCTTCCCTGGTGAATTCAGTCTTTGGATGTTGGGTAGTCAAAAGTGTGGTGGCCAAGTCATCTTCTATGACAGGGCAGACTTAAGATCAATGCTGAACTTTCTCTTCATTGAGACTGTGGCATGTTATGATACAGGGTTATTGTTTAGTTGAATCAAAAGAAATTAAAGCTGTGTTCTCCTGACTCTCACTAAGTTAATTTCTTGCTCTGTCATGCATGGTGTTTTATTAGTTTAGTTTTAGCTAAAAAAAACCCCAACACACACTGTGTTCTGAAAGCCTCTTACTGGCCATCAGCATCACAGCAGGCAGGCATCAAAAAGTTCCTTGAGAGAAGGAAATAAAAGTTGATCTCAATTTAAAGCAGCAAAATTTCTGTGCTTAAAATTATTTTTTAAAAAAATAATTCAAAATATTGCTGGTAGTTGTATTCACAGCTTCTTCCTTTGACTGGGCAACTGTGGATCAGAGAGTTTGTTGGGTATAAAAGGCAAATGTAATTATTATTTTTACCAGTCCCTGAAAGTCTTAAGCTGGAGTTCTTTTTAAAGAAATGATTCATTTGGTGTTAGTTAGTCACAGGAATGAGGCCCGTTGGCATGGGTTCCAGCAATGCTGCCCAGATTTAGTCTGCAGTAATTCTGCATTTCCAGCAAGGGACAAACTGCTCCAGTCACTATCCAAACTAGGCTGAAAAGATGCTTTTAACAAGAGCCTCGAGGGCCTGGCTGGATGCTGAAATAAATGAACAGTTCACTGATCCCTTAGCTCTTTGTTTCCATGTTTTGTGACGTTCCAGTTTTATCTCTGGCTGCAAAAGGACCGACTGTGCCACCCTGGGGTGATGCAGCTTTGCAAGGAGGAGCAAGTGCTGGGGTGCAAGGCCAGGGCTGTGCCTTGGGCCTGTGTGGAGCTGGTGTCCTCAGTCCTGGGAGGCTCTGCACTTCTGGAACTGTTGCAGGATCTCTGTGTGTTCCCACCTTCCAGGGACTGGTGCTCAGGACACTGGATGGATGAACGTTGCAGCTCAGCCGTGTGATTCCTTATCCTGTGCCTTCCCAAGGGAAGTGCATCTTGGTGCCTTCATGTCTGAGGACCTGCCAGTCACTGTTGTCTTCTCCTATGCAATGAGGCCCTAAGCAATTAGTGTCAGCTTTCCTTTACCTGTCCAGAGTAGCTGTGACTAATGAGTTTGCAGATGAAAACATCTGCTGTAGCTTCAAGTTCCCTTTGGAGCAGCCCAGATCTGTTTTGACAGGTGTCCTCCACCTCAGCATTGCCACGTTCTCCAGGTGGTGTAATTCACTTGCCAGTGTTCATGCAACCTCATGTTGGACCTCCTAAAAAGGCCTTTAGAGCTGTGTGCAGTGCTGCTGGAGGAGCTGTGGTGCAGCTTTGCCATAGTGGGGCACAGAGTGTTTTCAAGAGCCTTCCCTGCCTGCTCTAGCAACCTGGACTGAGCTTTGGATGTAAAGGACTTGAATTCCAGTCAGGAAAAGCAGGGTTGGCTTGTATGGCAAGCAGTGGGATATGACAAAATGCATGTTGGGCATAGGTTGTTTTTTTTTAATCCAGGTTTTAACTGCTTTACAAGTAAAACTGTTTATGAACCAAATCTGGGAAGGAAATATCTTTCTCTCCCTTTGCTGTAGGAAGGAGCGTTAGCTGTGTTTAATTCCTTCCCTCCTTCCCACTCCAACACCTCAAAAAAACACCTCTTAGCAAACCAGCTGTAAAGATTTTTGGCTTTTGAAGGCTGTGCTCTGCCAGTTGGATGAATCTTATCTCCAGTTCTTGATTAGATTGGAGGAGATAAAACAGCTCCGAGTCCTCTCCAGGCTCCTGCGTAGGTGTGTGTGTGTGGTATCATCTGCAGCCTGTCCTCTTCTCCCCAGTTCCCATTGCCTGTGTCAATGCATGGAGAAGTTGGTTTCTTGCCTGTCATGTCCCATGTTTGATTCTGCCTGCTTTGCAAAGGCAGATGCACTGGGAATGGTGGTGGTTGATTTCTAGCTGTCTGCCACATTGCTGGGCAGAACTGCCGGCTCTCCCGGTGTCTTCAGTTGGCTGCTCTGGTCACTAACAGCCCCTTAGGTTCACTTCTTGGTTGCACAAGAGGGGTGAAAAGAAAGAGGAGGTAGGAATGTGTCTTGCCACCAAAATGAGTGCTTGACATGCAGTCTCAGATGAGGGTGTGAAGACTGCTTCTTGGCCTGGGATCTCATGCCAGTGTCTGTCCCATGCTAAGAACTCAGCTTGCTGCATTTCACATTTGGTCTCTTAACCATCCCCTTCTGGTCTTGGCTGTGGTTGACTGATGAGTGTTTGTGCTTTCCCAGGGTGTCCATCAATAGCTTCCTCATCAGCTAGGGGAAAGCTGGAACTGTCTGGGGAGTGACAAGCTCAGCCTCTCTGCTCAAGGTACCTGCACGTGTCATGTTCCTCATGCTTTGCACTTTGGCTTGAGGTATTGACTCCTCTTCTGCCCCTACCCACCTTGTGCTCTTCAGGGCAACAATTAAGAGATCCCAGCAAATGTCTTCTTCCCCTTCCACCTTCAAGGTGTAAACTTCCACATTTTAATAGCCATGAGGTTTGAATGTTAACCATGCTGCTTCAGTTCTGGGAAGGAGCTGCTGCAGTGGAAGAGGTTGCACGTTGCTGTGTCCCCACCACCAGCAGAGATGGAAATGAATCCCTTCTGTGGAAGAGCTTCCTGAGCAAGTGTAATTTAGGTGCACAGCAAATTCCAGCTGGCTTTGAATGCTCTATACAAAGAACTGGGCAAAAGGAATCATTCAGTGGAGGCAAATGGAGCAGAGGGGAGGTTGTGATGGCACATCAGAAATGTGCCTGCTCAGGTTTAGTGTAAGCTCAGTATTCATGGAGAACCTCAAAAGCTGTCTGCTGCCAAGGGGGTCTTAGGGGTTGCAAAGTTTGATAGGAAGGATGGAGTCTTCCACATGTTCCTGCCCTTCTGGTGACTTGCATATGATCTTGAGCAAGCTTCTTGGAGGTGCATGGCCATGGGACATCCCATCTGTGTGGGTCAAAATGGACCCATCTGACAGCATTGCTTCCCATGATCCTGCTTAGCTCACACATGAAATGAGGGGGTTTTATAAAACACTGGCTGAAAAATGGGATTGGCATTCAAAATGGTGTTCTCTGCTGTCCTTGGGGCTGAAGGGAGCTTGATTTCACCACCAGAAAGGTGCAGCTCTGGGGTCCCAGCTTGTCTTTCTGCTGCACTGGTGAGGAGGTGCCATTTCTGCCCTTGTTGCAGTGCAGGGCAAAGCCTTGGCCACCCCCAGGAGAGCCCTTTGCTGCAGCTTTGGTGCCATGGGTTGGAGGTCATCTCTCCTGCTAGGGAAAGGAGCTCATCCTAGAGAGCTTTCCTGAGAAAGGGAAAGTTATTTCCCCCCAGCAGTCACTCAGTAAGAAGCACTTGATTGGCTCTGACCCTTTTAACCCTGCTAAGAGGGCAGCATTTTATGCCCAGTCTGAGGTCCTTGCAGCATTCTCTGCCCAGCCCGAGGTCCTTGCAGCATTCTCTGCCCAGCCTGAGGTCCTT